TTATTTTTTTTTTAATGTTTTTATTGTATGTCTATTTAGTAATTAGTGCTTCAAAGTTGAACTAAACAAAACTAAAAAGTTTGTTGCTTTGGCAAATAACTGAACTTAAGTTTTCATCTAATATTTATATTTTTATTATACGTTTTTTTTTCTTCATAATTTTTCTTAGCTTTTTTTTTAATGTCCAGCTAGTAATTAATGCTTCTTAAACTAAATAAAAACGATAAATGTTGCCTTGGAAAATAACTGAACTGAAGATTTTCATTTAATATTTATAGTTTATTTTATTTAAGCTTTAGTTCAATGAACAAAACTGTTTTAATAGTTGTAGTAAACAACAATAATAACCCTGGATAGAAGACGTGTGCCACATCTTGCAACGGTTCTGCGCTAAGAGACAGAACAGGTGCATTCAGTGCTTGTTCTTCTCAAGCTTTTTACAATGAGCAGCTCACGGTTTGCTGTCACTGTCGTCAGGGGCTTATGAAGGATGCACGTACTTTCTGTAAGCACATTTGACGTTGTAACCGGCTGCGGAGTTGAGCACGGGGATGCCCAGATCCTGATACACCTGCTTCCAGACAGATCCGCTCTCGATCTGAAACACAGGGAGGAACACGAGTCAAAGCTAATACAGACGGAGCAGCAGACCGTGTCAAATAAAATAAAACTCACTTTGTCAAATCCTCCGAGCTTATGCACCAGCCTGTAGAGTTTAAAAAGATTGAGATTCCTGTAGCCAACGTTTTTGCATTCGAATGTGGATTTTGATTTTAAATTCGATGAATAATCGAAATTCTATTTTTATTGTTTGGACAGCCCTACTTCAGAGATCCACATGCACTGACGTTCAGACAGGAAGCATTGACACTCAGACAGGAAGTGAGGAGGGTTTAGGCTGCACCTACCCTGACAGATCTTTGTTATCGGGTTCCTCACACGGTTCCTCCTTCACGCTCTCAGTGACGGGACTCTGCGCTGTCGGGATGCACTCTTCGGCCTCCTCTTTCGTATCGTTCTCCTCTTCATCAGCGTGGTTATCGTCCTCCTCATTTACGCTGCTGATGTCCGCTTTATCTTCACACGGTGCTGTGGATTCTGCGTTCTCCTCCTGAGATCAAATAACACGTCATTCTCACCCATATGTTCTTGCAATTAATATTATTTGACCCTAATTAAACGCTGCCTTAGCTACATTTGTAAATGCTTTTTTTTCTTTGTTTCAGCAGCTTGTGTCGAGAAAAAAGCATGACTTATGAATATAAATGAGGTCATACAATCATAAACAGCTGAAGATTCTGGCTGTGCTTCAAATGCAATAGTAGTGTACTGCTTACTGCACAGTATGTAGTGTATACTGCTTACAGCAGCTTTGGAACTGTAACTGTGAAAAAGTACTTAGTTACATGATAATGTCGTCACACTATAAATTATCAAATGAACATACATAATAAAAAAATACTGTTACTGATCACATTAATAAAAAACAGCTACTGATCACATTAAATGAACACTAAATACATTTTGTCAACCTACATAGTCAATACACACACACACACACAC